TCCTCATAAATGTACGCCAAAATGTATTCTGCTACATGTCTAAAAAAAAATCCCAATACGTGTAAATTAATTGGTTTACTTGAAAATTATAGTGTCTACATATGGCAGTATATATTATATATATACTGGATTTTTTTTCTTTATATACTAGCGATTAGCAACTTATAGTGGGACTGTGGGACTGTGGTGGGCATTCTGACACTGGGGGAGGGAACTGACTATCACTGACATCCCCTGTGACACTAATACAGTGATCAATGCAAATTAAAAGCACTGACACTGTAATAATGACACTGGGCAGGAAGGGGTTAACATCTGGGGCGATCAAAGAGTTAACTGTGTGCTGTTTTACTGTGTGCTGTGTGTGTGTTTTACAGTGTCAGCACACTGCTTTGTATTGCTCTGCAGAGCAATACAGAGCAGTGTGCTGGAGCTAACAGAGGAGAGATCTGTATTGCTTACATACAGACCTCTCCCCCATCAGTGATACTCAGGGAAATCATCTGCTGGAACCTGGTGATCAACATCTGAAGCCGCTAATGGTGGCATGGGTAGAGCACCCACGCACCCCCTACCCGTAAATGCAAAATCACACATATATATATATATATATATATATATACACACACACGTGATTTTGCGCAAACCTGCTGCCCTGTAGCAATATTTCTGCTATAGGGGGGTGGGCAAGCGGTTAAAAAGTGTTCCTTTAATTTTTTGAGCAGTGTATTAGAGTTGAAATCATCCATTCTGACTTGCTATTCCCAAGGTGGTGAAATCAGTCAAGCACCTGTATACATCCACTCGACCACCCATCCTGAGAAAGATATACAGCACAGGTTTTTATGGTACTTGGCACTTTTGCATTGGCATTGAAGAGGCACGTTAATGGCAATAGGGTGTGGGTATACATACGGAAGGCAATATCCAGGTATGATCTACAGGCATTTAACATCAATACATTATGGCTATGATGTGTGTATGTGCCAACAAGCTGATCTGAAACATTCACCTGTGGTGACAGGACAAGCTAATTTGATTGGTGTTCTTGTGGTTCCCACTGTTGTTTTAAAGATCAGTAAGACTTCTTTCTGTGTTCAGCACTGGGCTTTAGTACACCATCCTTCCTCCATGTTATGTGGAGTATGACACATGCTGTATGAACTGAGAGATATTGTGAGAATTGGAATTCCATGTTTATCCTTGATAACAGATGATTTTTTTTTATAGACATCAGCAAACCTTGGAGTGATTAAGCATATGCACACAAGATTTGAAACTCCTCTTTCCAGTGCTAACCAATTACTCCAAATGCTGCAGTGCTATGTGCACAGTATTATTTTCTTTTTTTATACACTTTAATGTTGATTTTTTTGGGCTAACAAACTGCATGCTATGTGTCATTTTTAAAATGTGGTCTACTCCAACTAATGCAATTCTGTCTATCGGATCTGTACAATATTCCTTCTTATTTTCTGTGAAAAATATATACTTTAATGTAGATTTGTAGGCTGAAAACTGCATACAGTGCGTTGTATTGAAAATGCAACTTACACCAAGGGGTATTTTTTAAACGTGGCTTACTCCAGCTGCTTCAGCGCTGTCTGTGGAGTCTGTAGAATATTTAAAGCTGAGCAATTTTGTAAGCTATACATTAATTTCTTTCAAAAATACACTTTATTATTCATTTTTGTATAAAAACTGTTTTATCACTGCCTCTAAAATTGTGGCCTAGGGCGCATGCGCGGCCGGCCAGCGGATGACAGCTCACTGATCCGAGCTCCGTCCGTCCGCCAGTGATCAGAGCGGCACACAGCAAGCCCGAACCCAGCAGACACAACAGGAGCACAGCCAAGGGTCACGGAACCCTCAAGCAACATGACACGACGGCGGAAAACCCCGGGGCAGCTGAGGAAGTTAACTAATTTCTTCCCAGCCTTCAGCCCTGTGACCAAGATGGCGCCGGCTGCGTGACAGGCAGTCTCTCCTCACATGAAGGAGATGCGCAGAGAGACACAGCATACCTCCTGGACCCCAGGCTGAAGGCACCACTGTACCCAGGAGACCCGGGTGAGTCCTCTCCTCCCCTGTCTCCTACAACTAGCAGCCCAGCCAAGTCTAGACCGAGACTGGACACTGATGTCCCCCATGACAGACAACCATTCATACCAATCTTAAATCCTGACAAATCTCCATCTCTGATTGATTCCTATCCTGCCTCTGACCAACCCATTACAGAAATTGCAATGAAGAACATGTTATTATCTCTGCGACAATCGTTACATAACGATTTGACGGTGACGCTATCCCAAATCTCCATAACTGTACAAAAACAAGAAAACCGTATCCACCATATTGAAGACAAATTAGGAGAAATGTGCGCAGCGCACAATGACCTCATAGACGCACATGCAGATCATACATCAGAGATTGATCAAATAAACCTCAAATTAGCAGACTTGGAAGATCGCTCCAGGAGAAATAACATAAAATTCCGTGGTATTCCCGAGTCCATTACAGCGGACGCCATAGTCCCATTTATCCAACAGCTTATGAAACATATCATCCCTACACTCACTGATGTGGAATTAGCCATAGACCGGGCACACCGTATTCCAAAACCATCATTCCTTCCGGCCGCAATACCCAGGGATACATTGGCGCGCATACACTTCTATCATGTGAAAGAGAGGATAATGATAGCTGCCAGAAACCCCAATTCATTACCATCAACATATACAAATATCAAATTATTTGCCGACCTATCCAAAACAACACTTCTCAACCGAAAGAAACTCATCACCATAACGAAAGCTTTACGGAACCACGGTATAGGATACCAATGGGCTTTCCCCACGAAATTAACCGTTAAATATCAAGGCAGGATCTACCAATTAAGTCCTTAGAAGCAGGTATAGAACTCCTGAAAACGTGGAATATCATTCCAGAGGACTCTCATCAACCCACTTCCAACCGTCCTCAGCTAATGGACGCAGAATAGCCAAAAACTTCAAACCAACTTGCAATGCTCAACACGCCGCAAAATGGGCACTGTCTTATGACCAAATACAACTGGCACACGGCCCAGTATGAACTTCCTCATGCTTCAAAACTCCTTCCAGCATGATTCCCTTAGGGAACCATGGTTGCTCAAGCCTCCATGTTATGAAGTAGTATTTAATGCTACCCATTTCACTTGTTTTCTTTACAAGTTCTTTTTACTCCTCCTCCTCTCCCACGGTACCAGTCAACTAGAAGGAATCTACCTTCCCCATAGTTCTCCAATACAAGATGAAAACCTTCCTCTACAGAAAAGCCCGACAGGAGCTCACAACAGGTCCTCATTTGATAAACACCACCAACGCCATGAAACACCTCATTTCTCTCCATTTTCCTGGAAAAAACACCAATATCTTAGACAAACCATCAACATAAAGAAAAATGATTAACATATCTTTGCTGAATGTCAGAGGCCTCAACTCACCTTATAAGAGATCCTTACTTTCGAAAGAAGCTAGATCTTTACAAGCAGACGTATTATTCTTACAAGAGACCCACTTTGCCTCTACTAAAATCCCCAAGTTCAAGATCCACCACTACACATCAATCTACTTGTCAACAAATCCCAAGAAAAAAAATGGGACTATCACGGCCATTAAAGATTCCCTCCAATACCACTTTATCTCCGAAATAGTAGACCCGCAAGGACGCTACCCACATTTTGATCTGTAAAATCACAGACATTACATATACCCTAGTCAACGTCTACGGCCCAAATACTAACCATTTTCAATTTTTCAACAAACTCAACGCGATCATCTCTCAACATAGAAAAGGCAGACTAATCGTTGGCGAGGATTTCAACATCATCGGCAACCCGCTCCTAGACTCCTCCTCCAATAGACGTGCCCCTAAGAAGACCTTTAACCGCTTTCTACACTCAAACGACTTATATGATGCCTGGCGTTGCCAACACGGCACGGAAAGAGACTATACCTACTATTCTCCATCTCATTTATCCTACTCTCGCATAGACTTCTTCATCACCGACAAATGGAATTTGCAACACATCACTTCCTCCAAGATAGGCACCATCACATGGTCTGACCATGCCCCGATTTCTATCTCCCTTGACCACAACCAATACCCACGGATCCCGCGGATATGGCGACTGAACTCATCCCTACTGAAAAACCCAGAACTCAAGAAACGCATCTTGGAAGCGCATTGCACATTCTTTGAACTTAATGACACAGCTGATATATCTATCTCCACATTATGGGCTACTTACAAGGCATTCATGAGAGGTATTCTTATACAACTTAATTCCCACCTCACGAAACAAAGAAACCAACAAATAGATAAACTCCTCTCCTCAATTAAATCAAAAGAACAAATCAATAAAACATCACCAGATCCCTTAACCTCCCTGGCGGTATGATTATTTCAGATTTTTGGTGCTGAAAGCGGTACCATTTTTTTGCATGGAAATATGTATTTTTTTAATTGTAGGCCTGTAATTTTTAGGAAAAACTCACTGAAATCTGTCCGAACAAGAGTCTAGTAAACATCCCGGGTATGATAAAATTTGAAACACAAAATCATAAATTATAATTTAATAAATAATCATAAAAATAATATAAAAATAATAAAAAATTTAATTCAATAATATAATCAAACCAAAAACACTGAAATTTGAAATATAGCGCCAAGTTCGCACATTGCTGAGCTCAGTCGCAAAATCGTTTTCAGTGTCTGATGACGAATTTCCCCCACGAATCATTATCACTCAATTCTGCAAGTGGTTCTGATTTACTATCGCTGTTCTCTAGCTGATCTAAACCGCTTTTGACCTAAAGGGACACTTTTTGGACGCCATGGACGTTTCTCAGTTTCCAGGCAGAAAGAACAGACAAAATGCAGGCAGGGCGCCGGACAAAGCACTAGGGACAAAATGTATGTGAAATGGGTTGAGACAGCAATGTTTTACTATGCAAAATGTAAAAAAAAAAAAAAATGACATTTTTTTAAATTTTTAAATTTCCCGCCGCCTGCGGCGCCCGTACGTCCCGACGTCACAGGGACAGGACACAGAAGCCGGATGCTGGCATCGGCCGGAGGAGATGGCCGGGGACGCTGCAGGGGACACATCGTGGGAGCGCAGGGTAAGGTAAGTGAAGAACACATGCCGGAGCAGTGCCGCATGGTATTCCCGAGTGTAGCTCGGGGTTACCGCTTTTGGTACTGAAATGTTACCCCGAGCTACACTCGGGAATACCGCTAAGGAGGTTAATCTCTTCCTCCCTTAATGCAGAGAGAAACAAACTAAGATCCCTTTTATTATATAAATACAATATTAATCTCCAAAAGATGAAATCAAGATATTACTCATTAGGTAACAAAGCCAATTCAATGCTATCCAAAATCATTAAACAAAAACGACTTAATCTAAAATTACATCAATTAAACACCCAACTACCCATACCATATATACCAATCCGCAAGACATAGCGAACGCATTTTCAAAATACTATCAGAACCTATACAACCTTAAAAATGATCCTACCACCACACAACCTACATCCGAATCCATACAAACATTCTTACATACAACAAACCTCCCCCAACTTTCACCATCACAACTTACTGACATCTCAACCCCAATTTCTTCCAAAGAGATAGAAACGACTATCAAAACACTACCATTACACAAATCTCCGGGAAATGACGGGTACACAAATGAGTATTATAAGCTATTTGCCCCAGAATTATCACCATATTTAACCAGACTTTTCAATAACGCAGCTGAATCTGGCACATTCCCTAGAGACATGCTACAATCTATTATCACAACTATACCAAAACCCGGAAAAGACCCACAACTTGTCCAAAACTATAGGCCGATATCATTACTTAATACCGATATAAAACTCTACGCAAAAATCATTTCACGAAGACTTCTCCCTTATCTCCCAACCTTAATACATCCGGATCAAGTAGGTTTCATTCCAGGTCGCCAAGCACCAGATGCTACAAGAAGAATAATATCACTTCTCCACAATCTACAGTTTTCCAAATATCCCTCTTTGCTTCTATCCCTAGATGCAGAAAAGGCATTTGACCGCATACACTGGAAATTTATGCAACTCACACTCCAGAAATTTGGAATTACAGGTTGGATGTTGACTGCCATACTATCATTGTACACATACCCCTTGGCTAGAGTACTAACAGATGGCACACTCTCTGATTCTTTCGACATCACAAACGGCACTAGACAAGGTTGCCCTCTTTCCCCAATTATATTTGCACTCCTCATTGAACCCTTAGCTGCCAAACTCAGAGATGACCCGTCATTCATCGGCATCAAACACTTCAACACAGAGCATAAAATCAGTCTATTTGCAGATGACATCATCTTGATGGTGACTAATCCCAACAAATCCCTCACAACAATTCGCAACCATCTCCATATCTACTCGAAAGTCTCCTACTATAAACTTAATGAACCCAAATCCTCAATACTAAATCTTCATCTATCACCCCAAGACCAAAAATTATTGACTACACAATTTCCATTTTCCTGGGAAACCCAAAGTATCCCATATCTAGGGATCAGACTAACGGCAACAACAGATCAATTATACCTGGCAAACCATAAGAAATTACTTGAAACTATCCCCCATGAAATTACCACTCTCCGCACTTCAGAACTCTCCAAACTAGGCCGAGTAGTGACTCTGAAAATGTACATACTACCCAAAATACTATACATATTCCGCACCCTTCCAATACCAGTTCCAAATATGTTTTTTTTCCAAGCTACAAATAATATTCACAAAATTCCTATGGAATTCCAAAAAACCCAGATGCACTATGAACCTTCTCATACGCACTACAACCAGAGGTGGAGCAGGCCTCCCCCATTTGAAATCTTATTATAATACCACTCTACTTGACCAAATATATTTTTGGTGGAACCCTTCAAAGGAAAAAATATGGTCCATCATGGAAACTATACCATTTCACCCTCTTGACCCCCAAAATCTTCTTCTAACACCACATACAACCCAATTCGAAAATAAATGGAAACACCCATGCATTAAAGCTACACTACAAGCTTGGCGAGATCTTCTTACCATCAACTTTACCGACATCAAACACCTTCCTACTCCACTCAATTTACTACATGCCCTTACACCTTCCTTAAACTTAACCCAATGGACAAAACAGGGCATTCTACACATCACTGATCTCTACAACGACCGAGTCCCATACTCGTTTCAAAATATCCAAATCAAATATAAACTTCCTTCTACCGAATACTTCACCTACTTGAGAATTATACATTGCTTACAAACAACTAAAATATCCTACTCTACAAAAATTCCCATTACCGTATACCACTTCCCTCACCAAAAAACAATATCCTGGTAAAGGCATTTCGACCTTCTATTTGCTCCTCAATAATCTACAATTTACCATGCAAACTACTTCCCTAACAAACTGGGAAAAAATACTATCGAAACAGATTACAAATCAAACCTGGGAAAAGGCGTTCACTATTACACACAAAGCCACCCAGTGTACCTCCCACTGGGAGTCGTACTTAAAAACACTTCATCAATGGTACCTAACGCCAGTTAAACTCTCTCTCTACTACCCGGCCCACCCCTCTTTCTGCTGGAGACAGTGTAATGACATAGGTTCGACACTACACATCCTATGGTCCTGCAAAACCATTAGATCCTACTGGAACAGTGTCTTCAATCTAATCTCAGAAATATCTGGATCCTTGACCATCCCAAACCCTTCATTAGCTCTCCTACATATCGGAATTGAAAATTTTCCACCTAACTCCCGTACCATCATTGTCCACACACTCTTCGCAGCTAAAATCAACATTACTAGACTATGGAACAGCACTAACGCCCCTTCTCTCACACTCTTAATCCAAGATCTTAACTTCCAATGTGACATGGAAAAAAGATCTGCATCCAATAATTCCTCTCAACACAAATTCACCTCCCAATGGGCTCGATGGCTACATAACCCAAAATGCACAATACAAATTTGATTAACAAATAGCAAACATAAAACCAAGTAACAGCCAACCCTAGACTGGTACCCCCCCTCTCCCTTCCAAGTTGCATACCCTCCCCCCTCCCTTCCCCCCCACTCCTTTCTTGTTCTATATCTCCCCCAATACCTCATACACTTCATCAAGTTCAACATAATAAATAGAATACCTCTGATGTTCTTGTCTTATAAAACCCTACCACATCCCCCATTAACTGGAGGGATGAAACCTATTGTTTGCATTGTACTACGGCATTCCCTGTTGAACTATATAACATCATTTGTTATGTTTTCAAAACTCTCAATAAAAACTTATTGAAATTAAAATTGTGGCCTAGTAAAACTGCTTACATAATGCTTAGTGAATCCGTACATTTTTCTTGCTATTGTCTCTGAAAAAAATACTCTCTAATTTCATGATGAAAACTGCCTAGTCAATCCCTCTTACACTGCTGTCTAATCAAGCTGCTTCTATGCTTACCATCTTTATACTGTATGCATGGCTTTGTATCTGAATTATAGCACTTTAATTTGTATTTCAAGGTCAAAACTGCCCTGTCTGTGGAATGATATGTATTAGCCAGGAATTGTGTTTTTTTTCCAGTGTTGGCATTGAAGTTGCATTAAAAGAAAGACTGAATGATATTTTGATTTTTAATGATTAATGATTATTGACTTTAATTGAGTTCAGGTTAAAGTTCTCAATTTATTGTTTTTTTACTATATTTGGTTTAAATATTGACTGTAGGTATGTAAGTGGAAATACACTGAAAGGTAAAAAAAATCTTCACAATGTTCTAACTGCAAAAAACTTATATGAATATGTTACCCCCACTGCTCATGCTGTGGAATGTCACTCCAAACTTTTTGCAAATGTTTGAAGAAAAACCAACAATTCTAACAATTCTATTAAACCCTTGTTTCCCTGGCAGTGGTTCCTCCCATAGACTTCCACATCACTACTGTCTTTTGGTGATGTAAGGATTGGTAGGGATGGAGGTTAATAGGAGGTAAAGGTTGGTTTCAGCAAAGACTTCAGAGGAGGTTTCCTATGAATGGAGAGATATCACATATACTTTAGTAATGTAGAATGGCATATACCATATATGTTATTTTCTTTCTTTATAGACATTCAGATATCATATTGCACTTTTTGCAAATGGAATGTTTGTATTCCAACATAAGCTATTTCCTACTGACTCACTAGTGCAGAAGACATAAAATAGCAATCTAAGAAAAACATTTTAGTGAATGATCTAAAGAGACTATCTAAAGTGCCTATATATATTTGTCCATTCAATATTCATCCAAAAGATTTGAAAAATGCTGAAACGGATACCATTTGAATATAAATTACACACATTAAAGGTTATTTCCATATTTTTGCTTGGAATTTTGTAGGACTCGTTGGGCAAATATTCTTAAATAATGGAAATCCATTCACTCATTTGCTGCAATTGCTGTCCTCAGTGGTGAAACTGTATAAATACCATGTGACTGTCATACAAATGTCTTTTTTGCTTGTAGTTGTGCTCTCAAATCCTTCTAGAGTTAACCAGCTTGCCAGGCATTAAAGCTTATATCTCGATAGCAGGGAACCTGAAAGTGCCCTGTCACCCTGCTATTTGATACAAAGTCCAAATATGATCAATTATGTCACAAGAAACTCCACCCCAACATTTCCTTAGCTTATAATACCATGCCCAGCACAGGAGATTTCAGACTGTAATTTCAACAAAGAAGGAGGAAGAACATGCTTATTCCCTCTCTCTGCTGTAAACAGCATTGGATTAGACATATTCAGATGTTTCTGGACCTTAAAAAAGTAAACATTTTAAAAGATTTATAAAATGAGGTCACCGCATGCACAGTGAACTGATTAGGGATCCATTTTTTGGTCAACCCCTCTCAAAGCACCTTGCTATGTTGAAAGGCATGTGTGCTAGTATCAGAAGAGCAGAGAGTATATATACTTGTGAAGGTTAGCTCTAGAGGAGAGAGATGCATAGAATACATAGAAATATTGAACCTGTATTTAAAACACAGGTGCAGCATTCTCCAAAGGCAAAAAA